AATACACAACATAATGTTCTTTTTAGCAACGTCATATGACCCCTTTAAATTAAAATGCCTAAAGCTAAACTTCCCTTGTATTCACATTTCTAAACCTGTTGTCCAACAAAAGAGAACATTATAACCTTTTTACTCCACAACACCAGTCAAATGCTTCCTTTTGTGATGTGATGTGGCTTCTTGTCACAGAATGAGGCAGAAAATATGTTCCATAGGCTACTTTAAAAAGAATACATCGATTAGCAATAGATTATATATATATACTTAATTATGATGAAAATACCAGAGATGGCTTGAATAACACAGATAAACTATATTGTCGCAGTCGAGTGTTTATTGTCTTTGTTTTATCATTCAAAACGTTTATATGTTCTGTTTACTCAGTTGCAGCTATAATTTGTCCATGTTGTCCATGTAAGGGATTTCCTGGAGGGTCATGAGTTCCGCTACTTCTGTGACTGGATGTTGTGCGAGGGAACCGACATCATGTGTTTATAGTGCTAATGGAAAATCCATCATTTTTGGGGGAATTTTTATTTATTTATTTTTTAATATGTATCGGTTTAGGCACCGGAACCATTTTAAAAGTATTGATTTGGCACCGGTATCGAAAAAAAACCAAACGATACCCAACCCTAGTCCAGGTGATATGTGCAAAATTTAAGGTGATATGTTCACTTTTTCATAAAAGCATGAAACTTGGTACTCTTGTACAGTTTGGGGCCCTGAACATTTTCAGAAATTGAGCCATCGCAAAAACACCTTGTGGTTGCCATGGCGGCCGTTTTACTTTCCGCCATTACCAAATGGACCACAAAACCAGTCATAAGGGTAAATTTTTCGAAATAAATAATCTTTCCATGGAATCTGAGGGCGCAAAAAAATCAGAATATTGAGAAAATCGCCTTTAAAGTTGTTCCAAATGAAGTTCTTAGCTATGCATATTACTAATCAAAAATTAAGTTTTGATATATTTACGGTAAGAAATTTACTAAATATCTTCATGGAACATGATCTTTACTTAATATCCTAATGATTTTTGGCATAAAAGAAAAATCTATAATTTTGACCCATACAATGTATTGTTGGCTATTGCTACAAATATACCCCAGCGACTTAACACTGCTTTTGTGCTCCAGGGTCACATATTATGTATTTTGTGTCATATCTTCTGAATCAAACATGATAAAACAGAAAAGGTGATGTCTGCCCATATATTTTGATGGTCAAGGATTACAATGATACCATATGCAACAACATAAACTGTTCAGGTGAATAGTTAATGGTGAAATCAGTGACGTGAGAAGGAAATCACAGTATGACAGCATCTACAATAGTCCATATTATGGTTATTTATTTTCTCTTTCTTTGATAATTGACTAATATTTTATTCAGTAATACAATATTGTTTTCAAGAATACAATTACATATTTCAGAGACATAAACAAAATCCTCTCATGTAAATATATCTTTACTTATCTCTCAGGCAGAGTCAGGTAGGCGGTTGCGCGTAAGTGTTTGCTTAATACATTGTTTCTGTTTAGATTTTTATTTGCTGTTAAGAATGGTTATTTCATTTACTATTTCTATTTGTATTTTGATTGCACATATCTGTAATTACAATAAAAGCCATCGGCTAAGAAGTAGCTTTTGATATTTGTATTGCTTGTTTACTGCACTTAAGTGGCGAACTGTCCCGCAGTAGTTTCGATTTGAGCCATTCGCATGCTATAGGTTTTTGGTGTGCTAATTGTTAAGGTGTCCACAGCTGTATTCACTCAAGAGTTGATAAACTGTGCATTTATTTGTTACCTGTGCACTGACGTGGAATACCTGTGACTCTACCAGTGCAACTCCATCGAGCAAGGACACCGACAAGGCACTTAAGTATCTTTTATTTTCCTTTCGGCACACACTCTCCTTACACCTTTTTTCCCCCACATCTATCATGTGTTTCCAATACATTCCTGTTTTTTCTCAACAATGCTCTAACGCAGACAGCAATGCAATCTTGCTAACCTTCGTCCTATCTACACCTCTTCTACTGCACCCATCTCTTTTTCCTGTGGGTCTCTGGAATTGTCAGTCAGCTGTCAACAATGACTTCATTCCAGCCACTGTTTCTCAGTCTACTCTTAGTATCTCAGACTTTAATGGGACCTGGATTCGTCCGGAAGGCTCAGCAACCCCTGCTGATCTACTACTGCTTCTTCGTGAACATTGGACCAAACTCAGTTCAGCAGAGACAGAATGGCACAAATCAAAAGATACATCTGACCTGAGTATATATATCAGTCTTTGTTTTTTTTTTTATCTTTCTCTGTTAAAGTCCGTGCTGTCAAATCTTCATATTTCCACAACAAGATCAACAGCGCTTCAGACACACGTAATCTCTTCAAAACATTCAATTCTCTCCTCTGTCCCCACCACCACCTCTTTAACTGCTGATAATTTTGCTGCATTCTTCACAGACAAAACTAAAACCATCAGCAGTCAGTTCTCAGCTCCACACACAGGAACCACATCCACTGCTAAAACTCTCCTCTCCTCCTTCTGTCCCCTCACTGAGGCAGAAGTATCTAAATTTCTCTTTGCCAGCCATCCTACAACAAGCCCTCTAGACCCAATCTCCTCACACCTTCTCCAAGCTATCTCTTCTACGATTCTACCAGCACTCACACATATCATCAACACATCTCTTTTCACAGGCATTTTCCCCACCGCATTCAAGCAGGCTCGGGTAACCCTACTACTTAAAAAACCTACATTAAACACTTCACTTGTAGACATTACCGCGGGAAGTAGGGGGGCTGAGGGTGCTGCAGCACCCCCTGGAGTGTAGCCCATGAAAAAATGGGGGTGCTGGGGGGTGCGGTGTTAAAAATAAATGAATGAACGATTTGTAACAAAATAAATAAATAAAATGTATTTTTATTAATTTGTATATTCAATAAAATTCATTGAAAAAAGTAGCCTAAGCCTGACAAGAAGCAACGGTTAAACATGAGTTAAGTTAAATAAAATTGACTGTGAAAGTCGTTTCAACTTATTAAACTGACTTATAAGTTATATAAGTCATATATATTTTTTTTTTATAAAAAAAAATCATTTTGTTGCCATGATTTTTTGATTATATTATTACCTGTAACATGTCTGTGCCGTAACCAAATTAAGAATTAACGACCATTTCTACAGACATGGCAAAGAGACAGCAGAGAAAGAGCGAGAGCGTTTAACTCCGCAACAAATCTCGCATTCTCACATCTGTAGCGCTTATTTTGATCTTTAACGTTAGGCCTTTCCTATTCTTGAAACAAAATTAATGCTTAATGGTTGATTCAATATTACTCTTAATGAAAAAACACACACACACAACATCAGCAATGCTACAATGTCAAAGTCGCTTATTAATCATAAAACTTTTGTGAACAGAATGAACAAGACTGATATGCCCGCGTTGTAACACAAACAAATGAAAGATTTTTGAATTTTCCCCTTACTTAAACAAATGCTTATGGCTCATTATTATTAATGGGAAAAACATAGGCTATACAATAAAATAGTACAATGACATATTCACCTATAATAAACTTTGAACTTTTATTAACAAAATGAATAAGGATATGTTTTACCCGCGTTTAACACAAATAAATATGGATTTCCCCTTAGGCTAAAACGATTGTATAGTTTGTGGTTTATCTTATTAATTAAAACACATCAGCCATAAAATAGTACAATGGCAAATGCGCATATATTAAACATCTAACTTTGATTAACAAAATGATAAGATGGATATAGCCTTGCGTTGTAACTCAAATGGCCTAAATAATGTATTTCCCCTTATTTAAAACGAATGCAGTTTGTGGTTCACTTTTTTTTTTTTTATGAAAAACCAACAACAGTAAAAACACTCACTTATATTAAACGAAGTTTTATTAACAAAAGTTGCGCTTTTGGATTCGCTATCATAGTGTCATCACTCTTGCCACATGACCCACCCCCCCCAAACCTGTCTCTCTTCTTCCATTCATATCAAAAACACTTGAATGAGTTGTTTCAACCAGGTATCATTATTTCTTTAACAGCATAACCAGCTGGACATTAACCAATCAGGTTTCAGAAGCAGCAATTAAACTGAGACTGTGTTACTGTCGGTCACTGAAGCCCTGCAGATTGCAAAAGCTGATTCAAGATCATGTGTTCTCATTCTGCTGGATCTTTCTGCCGCTTTTGACACTGTAAATCATCAGATCCTCCTGTCCACCCTCTCATCACTGGGCATCACAAGAACTGCATTTCATTGGTTTGAATCCTATCTCACAGGTGGGTCTTTCAGGGTGGCCTGGGGAGGAGAGGTATATAAAGCAAATCATCTGGTCACTGGGGTTCCTCAGGGATCAGTTCTTGGACCCCACCTCTTCTCTATATACACTACATCACTGGGTCCCATCATACAGGCACATGGCTTCTCCTACCATTGCTATGCTGATGACACACAGCTCTATCTCTCATTTCAACCAGATGATCCAACGGTAGCCGCTCGGATCTCAGGCTGTCTGGCGGACATCTCGGCATGGATGAAAGAACATCACCTACAGCTCAACTTGGCAAAGACTGAGCTTCTTGTCTTCCCTGCCACTCCAACTCTACAGCATGATTTCACCATCCAGCTAGGTTTATCAACAATTACCCCATCAAGTTCAGTCAGAAATTTTGGTGTAATCTTTGATGATCAGCTGACCTTCAAGGACCTCATTGCAAAGACTGCCCGATCTTGCAGATTTGCATTGCACAACATCAGAAAGATCAGGCCCTTTCTAACGGAGCATGCTGCACAACTTCTTGTCCAGGCCCTTGCCATTTCTAGGCTGGACTACTGCAGTATCTTTCATTTCAACCAGATGATCCAACGGTAGCTGCACGGATCTCAGGCTGCCTGGCGGACATCTCGGCATGGATGAAAGAATATCACCTACAGCTCAACCTGGCAAAGACTGAGTTTCTTGTCTTCCCTGCCACTCCAAGTCTACAGTATGATTTCTCCATCCAGCTAGGTTCTTCTACAATTACCCCATCAACTTCGGTCAGAAATCTTGGTATATTCTTTGATGACCAGCTGACCTTCAAAGACCACAATGCAAAGACAGCTCGATCTTGCAGATTTGCATTGCACAACATCAGAAAGATCAGGCCCTTTCTAACGGAGCATGCTGCACAACTTCTTGTCCAGGCCCTTGCCATTTCTAGGCTGGACTACTGCAGTGCTCTTCTGGCTGGACTTCCATCAAGCACAATCAGACCTCTACAAATTATTCAGATTGCAGCAGCATGTCTGATCTTGAATGAGCCCAAAATGGCCCAAATAACACCTCTCTTTTTCTCCCTGCACTGGCTTGCATCAAGTTCAAGACATTGATGCTTGCATATAGAACAGCCACAGGCTCAGCACCCGCCTACTTCCACTCACTACTACAAATCTACATCCCCTCCAGAAGCCTGAAATCTAAAAGTGAGCAACGCCTCGTGGTACCATCACAAAGAGGCACAAAATCACTTTCCAGAACATTCTCGTTCACCGTTCCGGGCTGGTGGAATGGTCTTCCCACGCCCATCTGGAATGCCGAATCCCTGACAATTTCAAGTGACAGCTGAAAAACTCATCTCTCTTTTGTCAACATTTGAGTGCACCCTAATTTAATAAAAAGAACCTTCACTTTCACTTTCATTAATCCCTCCCTGTTCTAGCTTGTACTAATATGAGCGATGTCTAAAACTTTGTATTTCGAGCACTTCCTGTGTTTATTTGCCTCTTTATGATTATTTGGATAAAAGTGTCTGCTAAATGAATAAATGTAGAGTCTGGCAGAGTGTTGACTGTTAGCAAGGTGACAGTAGAGTGACAGTTCATCAAGAAGGAAGGCTGCACTGAGAAGTATCAAAGACTGTAGAAAACCCAAGACGTGTCACTTGAACAGTTTTGAATGGGGGAATAATGCAACGCTCAATATGGCTGCTCTATAGAAGGAAGCCCCGCCTTCTGATTAAAAGAGCCAATCGCTATTTGGTAAAGTCAGCACGTCACTGCAGCTGCCATTACAAGCCCCGGTTGCTATAGAAATAGTCAGCGTTCTGGAGACGCGCGTTTAGGACTGTGCAGGCGCACTGGCTGGTCTAGCCTGAAAAATACGTATTTTTTACGCTATTTGAGCAAAAGAAACGACATTGATGAGACAGTTGTCAGATTTCATTGGTGAGTTCAAATATGAAATGTATTCGTAATCTTGGTGAACAGTTTTGGAGAATTTGATGTTTCCCCATTCAAAGATATAGAAGCTGCACTTGCATGCCCGAGCTGCGTTTCAAAGATGGCCGCCGAGTGACATGTCTTGTCTTAAAGGGACTTTGGAAGTATCAACTGAAATAAATGCTTCCCCCTTGTGGACACTAACATAATAGGCAACTCTGGCCCCAGAGAGTGATTGTAAATTAAGTTCACAGGAAATATGCTTGAAATTTAATTCTGCATCTTCTCAGATACTGTGATTTCATTGTAATTCTTATCACAACATCACTGAATTCACCATTAACTATTCACCTCAACAGTTTATGTTGTTGTATATGATATCATTGTAATCCTTGACCATAAAAACATAGGGGTAGACATTCTCATTAAAGATTAATCTTGCTGGATTAATTGTAAAGGTTCAAAACCTTATTTTACCATCATCTTCCTCAGGGGTCTTTATCCCTGTTGTTGTAGCTACTGTAGGCAGAAGTTTTCAAACACACCTCCATGCACACATTTTGGTTAGGACTGGCTCCCATGTTGTTTGCATCAGGTAGGGAAAGTTGTTTTGTGTTACGTCGGATGATTAAAAAATAAAACCCCTACACTGGCCGTGTTAGTTGTTTAGTTAGTTTGATTAGGAGTATCGTTGGTCGAAACAAGGGAGGATTCAAATTTGCAGCACTTTGATTTGATGTTGTCATGTGACACTGTAGGATTCCCACTGGGAATCAAACCTACTCTTAAAAATTATGTTGTCTGAACCATACCAGTAAATTTTAATAGATTTTTTGTAGTTTGTAGGTTTTCATACATCAGGTATTTTTTATGCATGTATGTCCTTCTGATTAAACTGCATTAGTCAGTCAGGCGTCTAAGCTGTTATTACTCAGTAAAGGCTGACAGGATTCAGCTGATTCTACAGGTTATGGATCATCACTGGACTCTACAGCTAATTCTGCAGGTTTTGGACAATCCAGGATTCTAAGTGGACTTGGATCACCTGCACCAGGATTGAAGAGAGGAACGACTGATTCAGAGAATCTGCTGCTGATGGTCAGGAGATGTGTACTCTCTTTGACGTTGTAAAATGACAGCAGACCGTCATCATAATCGAACAGAACTCCCAGTCGTTCAGGTCTCGGTGTCAGTGAGAATCTAATCGATGGTTCAGTGTTGGTGTAAAAGCCATGAGGACCGTCTGAACACAAGAACCAGAAACCGTTTGATGGAGTTAAAGCAGATCTGTCTCTTGCAGTAAAATGTCCATGTTTCACCACACCAATTATCCAGAAGTTTTTGGGAGGATTAGGTGAATGTGCCAGCTCTACCTCCCAATAGTGACGACCAGAGGTGAATCTTTGGGCTCCAAATGCACATAATTGAAATGGAAATCCCTCTCCAGTGTGCTGATAATCTTCACTGTCCCTCACGGTTTTACAGTCCTTAGAAACCTTCAGATCTGGATGTGAATGCTCACGGTCAATAGTGATCTCAACTGTGAGAAATAAATACATGAGCAACAGTTATTAATCCTCATGTATATGAGATGATGTTCACACATGATGAAATATATGCATATATAACTGAGATGACGTCATACCTGCATGTTTCCTCAGTTCTTCTATATTAACGTCTCCCGCAACTAAAATGAACAACAAATTATCTGAGATTTTAGATGGGGGAAAAAATTATAGCTGTAGTTAACAACCTCTAAAGTTATCAGTATCTAACAAAAAATGAGTATAATAGTCCAATATGAGAAGTGAATGATGCTTATGTGACTGTGGGAGTGTTGCAGATGAATCCATGCATTATGATAATTTTACATATTGAAGTTATACATTTGATTTTATTCACATTATGTTCTGTTAGACACATAGCATTTGCATAAAAAAATGTTTACGAGGGCTGTCCGGAAAGTTCCCAGAGACAAAAATAGAGACTTTTATCGAAGAAGATACAAAATTCAAGAAACATTTTACATAGGACAATCAACAGTTGCCCATACATTTTCATCTCATTTTTCTTTCTTTTTTTCATATTACATGGCTGGATACTTTCCGGACAGCCCTTGTATACTGTATTTGCAGTAGTTTGTAAAATATACATGTAGAATTACAAAACTGACTGTTTTGTTTTTTTGTCCATTTTATTTCCACTCTCACCTACTCCATTATTCCACTGAGAGTCACCAAAACCTGTTATGCTTTTTGTTTTCTGCTGCAATATGCATGTAGATGTTTATGTCAGCAGTTACAGTTCTTATAGCAAAGACCAAACATCTTCAAATACCTTCTTTTATCAGTCTCTCCAGAGTTTCCTCCTCACAAACTGAAATGAGAGAAAATATCAGCGGAAAGTTTAATTATCTGCTTCACAAATACTCCAGACTTTGTAAACCACATTACATTTGAACCCTTTCAGGCAGAGAGACAAAGTTTGTTTCAGATATTCTTTTATATTGCTGTTAACAGGCAACACACTAAATCATTTTATTTCATGATTCTTTAATTTATTTAAATTAATCTCAGAATGGTTTCCATCTCTCCTGCCATGTGATCTGATCTTACTCTGAAAGCACTGTGAGTTTTGTGTGTAACCAGCACAATACAAATGCATAGTGTTTAATGCCCAAGACAAGAACATTTCCCTTGTAAAATTTATTTTATAGTAATATTATTGAATGTATAGAAGTCAATTCAGTTTAACTGGTAACTATTTCAGAAGCACCATCAGCAGCTTTTGTGTGCTTTCCCCTAAAAAACAGATATGAATAAAATAGAAAGATTTCTGTTTTAAAATATAGAGATGAGAAAGTACTTTTTTAAATTTTTTCCCCAGTTAACCACTGCCTGAAAGGATTCATGACTGTGTTCTGATGCTAAATGAAGTTCATGTTACTTACTTTCTTTAGCTGGTTTCTTTCCTGCAGAACAGATAAAAAATATCAACACATGAGATATGCATGAAACAAAAACCTGCTGATAACCATATCTTTAAAATCTTTCAGCCAGATTGTACCTGTTAGTTTGTCTCTGTATTTGTAGAGGATCAGCCCAACCAAACCCAGAAGAGCACAGATGAGAACGGAGAAGAAAAGAGCCTTCCATGTACCTGATGAATCTGATGGATCTGAGAATTAGAAACCAGATGAATCTAAACACCTTCAAAATATATAAACCAATTACAGTAAAGTAGAAACATATTTTTAAAATTCTTTTAAAATAAAAATGCTGTTTGCAACCCATGTATCTTCTAAAACAGGATTGAGAACATCTCGGTTACGTATGTAATTTTCAACACCATCAACATCAATTCCATGTGACAGTATTAAATCTAGAGTATGATTTAATACTGAAATCTAGAGTATGATTTAATACTGAAGGAGGGAACAGAGACGTCACGTCGGTGATCGACGAATTGGGATCTCGCTTTGAGAGACCAATCCATCTAGAGTGTAAACTAAACAAGCCAATGCACATTGGCATGCGATGATTGCATCCAGCTGCCGCTGATCACAGCGTGAGTATAAAAAGGCAGCCGGTGCAACGCATACCAGGTTTTCAGGTGACCTGGCCGCTCAGCGGTGGTACAGCAGCCATGGCTGACGGGACGTGACGTCTCCATTCCCTTCTTCAGGGAACGAGGGTTACATACGTAACCGAGACATTCCATTTCAGTCGGTCACTATGAGTCACGTCGTGACTGACGAATTGGGATCCCTACCAAAGCACCATGGATGCTGCCCCTTCCAGTGTCCTGTGCGAACCTCCTGCGCCCCTTTTTGGTGTAGGCCGGGGCTCGCAACAAGAAGACCAGTCACTGTTGTCATAGCACTACCCAGTCAGTGGGATTGGATAAAACTGGGAAAATGAAACATACCCGTTCCAACTCCATACCGAGAAAAGGCATTCCCCTCTGCCGGCCTCCGTGGCAGACAAAGAGCTGGTCTGAGGTCCTAAAGCTTTGTGTCCAGTCTCCGGTCTATCTCAAGGCTTGGACAGGACAAAGCAAAGCTAGGGCTGGCTAAAGCATGACCCTGATCGGGCATCTCTGTTGGGTCTTCTCGGCGAGAAGAACACCACTTGACGAACAGGTTCCATTTCAAGGCATGAGCGTGTCTCGTAGACAGTGCTCTTGCCGAAGTGGTGTAAACTACCTCCTGGGGTAGTTCACCTAGAACCTCCACGTCCCGTCCAGGGACCAGACATGAAGTCTCCAGAGGTCTGGACGTGGGTGCCACAGAGTGCCCCATCTATGAGTCAGTAGTTCCTTCCTCAGAGGAATCTGTCAGGGAGGGGCTGTCATGAGGAGTTTGTAACGCAAGTGTTACTGAACATGTACCGAGTAAAATATTACTGAAAATTGATTAGTAATGCCTTACACTACTGCGTTACAGCAAAAAGTAATCCGTTACTGTAATGCATTACTTTTGTAACGTGTTACTCCCAACACTGGTGGCGGGCGAGTTGCGGCATGCGACAGGAACATAGACCACCTTGCCGGTTTATGTACACAACGGCTCGTCCAAACCGCCGACACTGCGTGCCCATTGTACATGGCCCCCCAGCCAGTGGTGGAGGCATCCGTGTAAACCACAGCATGCCTGGAGACCTGTTCCAGGGGCACTCCTGCCCGGAGAAACGTGAGGTCTGACCACGTGGTGAAGGTTTGGTGGTAGGCCGGTGTGACTTGGACCCGGTGAGTGCCGCACTGCCACGCCCATCTCGGGACTCGGCCATGAAGCCAGTGTTGAAGCGGTCTCATATGAAGCAGCCCCAGCGGCGTGACTGCCGCTGCAGCTGTCATATGCCCCAGGAGCCTCTGAAACTGTTTCAGTGGGACCGCCGTACTGCTCTTGAACATATTCAGGCAGTTCAACACCGACTGAGCATGTCCCTGCGTGAGGTGTGCTTGACTGAATCCAACTCCATACCGAGAAAAGAGATCCTCTGCGTCGAGGAGAGTTTGCTCTTTTCCCAGTTGACCTGAAGGCTTAACCGGCTAAGGTGCGAGAGCACCAAGTCCCTGTGTTCGCACAACTGATCCTGAGACTGAGCTAGTATGAGCCAGTCGTCGAGGTAGTTGAGAATGCGAATGCCCTGCTCTCTCAGGGGAACAAGGGCTGCCCCTTTCGTGAAGCCCTAACCCTAACTTTCGTGAAGATACGGGGCGACAGGGACAGCCCGGAGGGCAGGACCTTGTACTGATATGCTCGTCCTTTGAATGCGAACTGCAGCAATGGTCTGTGGTGCGAAAGGATCGACACATAAAAATACGCTTCCTTCAGGTCGATCGCTGCAAACCAATCTCGGGGACGGACGCACCCGAAGATGCGTTTCTGCATCAACATCTTGAACGGTAACCAGACGGGTGGAGGCAGCAGCAGCCTGCCGGGGCAGGACATGTCGGATCGCCTCAGTCTGCTCCTGTGCAGCCGAGAACTGCTGGGCCACATTCTCGACTGCGTCGCCGAAGAGGCCGGTCTGGGACACTGGAACCTTGAGGAACCGAACTTGTCGGCGTCCCTCATGTCGGCCAGACACAGCCAGAGATGGCGCTCCTGGACCACAAGTGTGGACATCGCACGACCCAGAGAACACGCAGTGACCTTCGTCGCTTGGAGCGCGAGGACAGTTGCGGTTCGGAGCTCTTTCAGAACTTCCGGATCGTGACCACCCTCGTGCAGGTCCCTCAGTGCTTTAGCCTGAAGAACCTGCAGTAACGCCGTAGCGTGTAAGGCGGAGGCAGCCTCCCCATAGGCCACAAAAGCATCGCCAGACAGAGCAGACGAGTACCTACAGACCCGGGAGGGGAGGCAGCCGGGGCAGGACATGTCGGATCGCCTCAGTCTGCTCCTGTGCAGCCGAGAACTGCTGGGCCACATTCTCGACTGCGTCGCCGAAGAGGCCGGTCTGGGACACTGGAACCTTGAGGAACCGAACTTGTCGGCGTCCCTCATGTCGGCCAGACACAGCCAGAGATGGCGCTCCTGGACCACAAGTGTGGACATCGCACGACCCAGAGAACACGCAGTGACCTTCGTCGCTTGGAGCGCGAGGACAGTTGCGGTTCGGAGCTCTTTCAGAACTTCCGGATCGTGACCACCCTCGTGCAGGGCCCTCAGTGCTTTAGCCTGAAGAACCTGCAGTAACGCCGTAGCGTGTAAGGCGGAGGCAGCCTCCCCATAGGCCACAAAAGCATCGCCAGACAGAGCAGACGAGTACCTACAGACCCGGGAGGGGAGGCACGGTTTGCCCTGCTGGGTGGAGGCAGTATCAGGACACAACTGCATCGCAACCGACCGCTCCACCAGGGGGACCCCCGTATACACCCTAGCTGCACCACCGTCGAGAGTGGTGAGGGAGAAGGAGCTAGCAGGTCGGTTTCCGGCAGAAAAAGGTGCCTTCCACGACCTGGTAAGCCCCCTCATGCACCTACGGGAAGAATGGCACCGGGTCGGGGCGCTGAGAACCAGCGCGGGCCATCCCGAAGAACCAATCGTCCAACCTTGAGGGCTCGGGACACGGTGGAGATTTCCACTCGAGCCCTACCCTCACGGCGGTCCGGGAAAGCATAGCTGTCATTTCCGGATCCGATTCAGGCATTGTTACAGTCCCAGAGGGCAGCAGTGCAGCCGAATCTTCCTCTCCAGAAAGCTCCGGCTCACCGTCTGATGCAGAGATCGACATCCGATCGTCAGGAGGAGCGCCAAAGGATACTGCTAGTACGCTCCTTGCAGAGGGCCCAACACGTTCCTTTGGCAGCTCAACTGGTTGCAGAGTGCACAGGGGAGATGGCCACCTGCAACACAAACAGAGGGTAGTGCAACCTGATGTGTGCAACCCACTCGACACTGGAAACCACCACTGCTAAAGCGCCGTACCGCCAACACCAAGAGCTCTCAAAGAGCGCGCTGAACTCGTTCAGTCTTCTTCTCTCAGTAGAGTAGTCAGGAGCAGAACGATGTGATCGCTCGGCTCCGAAGCGAAAAGTGGGTATGCGTTACACCGGCTGCCTTTTTATGCTCACGCTGTGATCAGCGGCAGCTGGATGCAATCATCATATGCCAATGTGCGTTGGCTCGTTTAGTTTACACTCGAAGTGGATTGGTCTCTCTAAGCGAGATCCCAATTCGTCGGTCACCGACGTGACGTTGAGAGTGACCGACTGAAAGGGAATCATTAAGTTAAGATCACAAGAAGAAAAACTAATGGAAACGACAGGCCTAGCATTCAAGCAAATGTGATCACTTTGTTTGTGGTATCTACAAATATCCATGTTCTCTAACCTGAAGACACGATGCCCTGTATGTGCAGTCTTCCTTCTTTTAACTCTCCAGTTCTGAGAGAGACTGAACATGAGACCAGTTGAGCGTCTGAGAGAGAGACGGCCGTCCAGCTGTGGACAGAGAACATCTCATCTGCTCCACGACTGTGAGACGATCCTCCAGGACGGAAAGCCCTTCCGTCATCTGACGTCCACGAGACGCTGGGCTCTGGATACCAGCCGCGGGACCTGCAGCTGATGTTCACACGCCCATCATCTAGAGGCTTTGGAAACAGGACAGGAGCGGATCCTAAAGCTGACGAGAGGAGGAGAGACAGATGTTCAGATCTTCTCCTGACACAAAAACTACATGCAGGATAATAAGTATACTGTTTAAAACACTGTCTAATGATGTTATGATTTTGAATGTCTTCTCAGGGTCTTGGAACAGTTCAACAGTTCTGTCATCATTTATTCAACCTCCAGTAAACCGATAAGACTCTATACTATACTATACTATAATATATATACTATATATTAGTTGGGCAACAAAAAAATCCACCGATATATTGGCCGATATTTGGCATTTTTGGGCATGTTTTTATATTTGGCTGACAAGTGTTGAATGTTTTGTATCGACAGCAATATGAACTCCAAACTTGTGCAAAAAAGAGACTTTAACAGGATTACAAAATCAAGAAGTTGCTATTTAAAATATAACAGTTAATTTATTTTACAGATTTATCGGTTACATTCACTAACTGTAAGTAACTTTGCAGCTACATGTCAACAAAGTGTTACCTATTTATTTTTATAATTTATTTCTAATTATTTTAGTAAATATTATATACAAAAGAATCCATTGCAGCAATTGTTATGCAAATACAACTAAAATAGTATAATATCATATATACAGTATATCGGTTTATATTGGCCATTGGCCACCCTGCTCTTTATGATATCGGCATCAATATTGTCCATCAAAAAAATCCATATCGGCTGACCACTACAAAAAAGCACTATTATCATAAGAGGAATCCAAATGACTCAAGTTTAACTCGGGTATGCGTACACCATATTTGACGCCATGATTTCAGCATTTTCTGCAAATAACGACGAGTTGAGTCTGTTTCTCACATTAAGCAATCAAAAGACTTGGAATTTAGTCATATGGATGAGTTTTATATCAACAGTCCTCAATGATGATGAGTTTTCATTATGCAGAAGAGCACATGGAGGAGAGAATTTCAAAGTTTGGCTGAACTGTGGCTTTAATGAAGTGTAGATCCTCAGAAAACAGACTACTCACCTGTGATTTTGAGAACTACTTCTCGGCTGTCATATGCACTTTCTCCACTCACGTAACAGCGAAAAGAACCATCATCTTGTACTCTGAGTTTCTCCAGCCGTAGAGAGACGTCTCCATCCTTCAGTCCACCAGACTGATCTGACCGCAGAGCCAAAGAGGTTCGGTTCCTGTACGGTTCCTCCTGGACGTCCTGGAGCTTCCCATGATTATAGAGCAGAACCGGGTTGCTGAACTGATCGTGACGGTACCAGCGGATCTCCAGAGCTTCAGCGTTCTCAGGAGGAGAGATCCAGCAGGGAACAATCACTGTGGATCCCACATGAGCCGCTATAGGATCACCAGGAACCACTACAGTGAGCGACACTGAGAGACACACACACACTCGTTTTAACAGGAATCCTGGCGATCTGGGAATTTTGCATGAGAGCAGAAGATTTCACCACTTGCACAATTTGCGGATTCGCGGCGTTAACAAAACAAAAACTGCTTGTTTTGAAAGTGACTTCTGTACTTCATACATCACTACACTATTGACTGACAATGGATGCTTTTTTGTACACGAAATTTTGCTAATGTAAATGCAACTTTATGGTGATTCTAAATCTTGCAACATTTTCTTTTTTTTTGTGAAAGCAAATAATACTTAATATTCATTACATCTATAGTGCAAAATCTACAAGGCAGGCTGCAGTTCTGGATGTTTTTGAACAACTGATCATTGAGTCCTCCTACTTAAAGGAGTAGTTCACTTACAGAATAAAAAATTCCTGATGATTTACTCTCCCCACTTCATCCAAGATGTTCATGTCTTAATTTCTCGAAAAGAAATTAAGGTTTTTGAGGAAAACATTCCAGGATTTTTCTCCATATAATGGACTTCAATGGGGTCCAACGGGCTGAAGATCCAGTTTCAGTGCAGCTTCAAAGAGCTCTACACGATCCCAGCCGAGGAATAATCCTCTTATCTAGCAAAACTATTGGTAATTTTCTTTTAAAAAAAAAAGTATAGACTTTTAACCACATATGCTCGTCTTGCACTAATTCCGCGATGCACGTCTGCAATTTGGACCTTCAGCCCATTGGTCCCCATTGAAGTCCATTAAAAAATCCTTGAATGTTTTCCTCAAAAACCTCTGTGTTTTCATACATAATTACTAAATTCTTCATTTGATCTTTCACTGATTTTAAACATGCTTGAATCGTTTATTGTTCTCCGATAGTTTGCTCATCATTAGTTCAAACTCTTTGTTCATATAAGTGTTATCTGACTGGCAGAAATGTTGTTTTTAAGGAAGCATCAGCTTGTTATTCTTTTGGGTTCGTGTTGATACTGTCATATGATCATCTTCCATAGGCACAATCTGTATGTAATCTAGTGCAATAATAGAAATTTATCACGTATATGCATAGGCGGAGGGTGAACCAACTCCAAAGCAGCCAAACATCATAAACCTGTCTTTTTAGGCAAGAACCAGGGTGTTATGTAGGCTAATAAAAGTTTAATGGGACTGAATTTGTATTTAATGTGATTACAATTTAATTAAAACAGAAATGTATAATTATATAACATTTCCTTCCCATGGTTATTTAAACGGCGAATAAATTATGTAGGCTACAGAAATGACATTATCAATAACTGATCTATCGCACTCTCAAAAAAACTACCGTTATAATCACTGAAGCTGTCTACACTACGAAATGAATCCCTTTCTTACATTGTACGCAGGGCAGGACTTAGGGGGGCGGGGGCCCCTGGGCTTGAGGTTATGTTTGGGCCCTATACCTACACTACAAATGCCCTCAAATAGAATATCATTATGGAGTAACACAAAATACACAAACATGTGCTTTGAGGTTCATAAATAGTACAATTAATTTGCAAAATGTCTAGGCTATAGTCAAAGTTTAAATGTAATATTAAATATTCATTATAATATAATAAACAGGATGTGTTCTCTCAGTTGAGAGATCAAAACCCTGAAATAACTTTGAGCAACAAAAAACAAAACAAAAAAAAGCCAGAGATGTTGGCTTATTAGTATTATAAAAGTTATTGTCATATCTGTGTCCTCTTATGTCAGGTTGTTATTTAATCAATAAATTAAATCGAATAAAAAGACATGCTGGCTATTAACAATCAAATGAAATCACTATCAACAAAATTCATAGATGGATTGTGCATAAAT